CGGAAAACATCCGGGCACTGAACGTGCGAGTGATTGACAGAAGCTTCCCGTTCAGCCTTCTTACTCAATAAGTGGGCTAAATCCGGCAAACCGTGCCAGTTTTTTAACAAGTCCGTCGATCCGCCAATGTTTTCCTTCAAATACGAAACTGCATTGTTTAAAAAACACAAATCATCAAAACTGCTTTGGGACTTTTTCGGAGGTTTTTGAGACACCTTCAGACAATCCAGAGCTGTCTTAGACAGGTTCGGAGCTCGTTCAGAGGCCCTCTTCATATTTAGAAAATCATCGGACATTAACCAAATTCCTAATCTTAAAAAAATTAATAATCTAACACATTTACCACTTAGTTTTTTTGTAAAAGTTCTTCGGTAAACTGGTAGATGTGGATACCATTGTCCAAATCGCGAGATCTATAATGAAGTCAAACATGCTCCATAAGGATGACACTATTCCAATGACAATGCCAAACCCCGAGTACAGAAGACAAAGAGGACCTAGTAAATTGCTCTGCAAGGTTCAGTGTTATAAAACAAAGACGACGTTTACAAGTGAATATATAAAAGATCATATCTTTGGGCTGTAAAGAAAGATATGAAGACATGATTGATCATTGCAGTTGTACACACAACTTAAGCAGTTATGAAATTAAAGCCTGAAAAATATTGAGGCATAGACAGGATTCAAACCCATGACCTCTGCGATACCGGTGCAGTGCTCTACAAACTGAGCTATCAAGCCAACTGGGAGCTGGTCACGTTGTGAGTTCTTAATATACCCGTAAGCGGCATCAGAAACAGCTGGCACACAAATATTAACTGAGCTTAACAGTGGACAAAACTAGGAGGTTTTCTCCCAAAAAGAGACTGCTACTATATAAACCATTACATATGCTTGGTAAGGCTGATTGACTGCAGAATTAGATTCAGATTCGACTTCAAGACCACGACAGAAATACCCTCAAGACAAACATAGAAAACAGTGACGATAAAAAAAGAGACAAGGATAGGGCGTTTACTTGTAATTCGTCTACTGAAACTGAGAGGGAAATTATAAAAATCGAATATTGCTGACTTACTGGATTACATTTGCTTTGAAAGGGGAATCAGCACTGGAATTGCTGACGTCAGGTTCACTCACTTTATTGTTTCCTAACTTAAGAAAACTACAAATGATGGCAACCAAATTGTCAAAAGAGCGGCTGCACTTAAACTGTTCCGTAGCGTTTATCTACAGTATGTTGAATCAAATAAATAGCAGTATTGAAATAAATATTATTTACACGGTTTAAATGACGGCCGAACAATTCTCAAGAACGAAAATTACAAAAGTCGAGTTTACGAAATACCTATAAATGACGCCAAAGGAATTGTTAAAAGGAGCTTCAGAAACCTTTCTATAAAGTTTTTGAATAAAATAGAAAGCAGTATTGAGATAAATAAATATTATTTAAAAGACTTAACACGAGGTATAACTTCTAATATAAGAAAATTACAAGTGGAGTTTTCATAATAACTACAAAATGATTGTAAACTCAGTGTTGAAAGAAAGGTTTAAAACCGTTCTGCAAAGTTTCTTTAAGCTATAGTGTACATTGAATGCGATTCAAAGCAGTTTTAAATTCATGATTTTTACAAGTTTCAGGTCGACTGATCCTCTCGACTGTTAAGAAGTATCATCAATTACGCCGCCGCTTTAAATAATCGTTTATCTAAAGACAGTCTTAAGTCCTATACGATAATTTCTATTGAAAATGAAACAGATGCAAGGATTCATGGCACCATTTACGCGAGACATCAAAACGGCAACAACGGAAAAGTATAGGAAGCCACAAGACCATATGTTTGACACAAAAAACTGGAGAAGCCAGAGTATAGCTGAGGGCACCATGCACACTGCAAACCCTAACACAATAGCAATGGCCATCTTTAACACATTGCTTTCAATTTGCTGGCGTTGTTGTCCGGCGTTGGCCAATTACTCACCTGGAATCTTCTGTGACTTGAGCTTTACATAGGTGGTAATGTAAAGTGTGGCTATCAAGAGCAACGGGATAAATATGAATGTAACAAACCATGACACCACGTAATTCTCATAGGATGAGGACTCTCCAAAGACTTCTTTCCAATGCAGCGTACACTCCAACCCTCCCGCATCTTCAACAAGTTTGGAGGAGAAGAGATCTGGGGTTTTGGTAGCCAACGCGACGATCCAAGTGGCGAGAATGAAGAACGGACACAGCTTTGAACTAATGAGTGGAGAACGGAGGGGATATACCACAGCTCCAAATCGATCCACTGCTATCAGAACCAGGCTCTGAACAGACACAGCAAGGGAGACTTCTGGTAAGTAGTAAGTCAGCTTACATAAGACCTGGCCAAGAGAACCACCGATCAGCCAGGAGTTTATGTAGAGCCGTTGAATATCCCGAGGAATCAAGAAAATCGGAAACAGCAGATCGGACATGGCCATGTTTACGATTAAAAAGTTGATGGGTTTTCTCATGGTTTNAGACCTGGCCAAGAGGACCACCGATCAGCCAGGAGTTTATGTAGAGCTGTTGAATATCCCAAGGAACCAAAAAACTCGGAAACAGCAGATCGGACATGGCCATGTTTACGATTAAAAAGTTGATGGGTTTTCTCATGGTTTTCGTCTTGTAGGCAATTATTCCGATGACGGTGTTCCCAGCCAGCGAGACAAGAAAAGCCAGGCAGTAAGCAAAGATCATGCCGATTTTTTCTGCTGTAGGATTCCAGTAGCAGGTCGATGGCTGTGTTCCATTCATCGTTGAGTTCAAGTTTTCCGACATAGTCGTTCAGTTTCTTTTTCCGCTCTTAAGCTCACAAATGAGTTTTCTACTGATTTGTTCTCTTATTAAGGTCACTCTATTTATGTGCTACTGAAGCTGGGATAAATGTTTCGCTTGTTGTTGTTATTTGCGCGAAAACATATCCGGTATGGCAATGTCCACAATCTAATGATAGGCAGATCCACTGCCTTTTTACAAGTCTTGCGAGAATAATTAGGCTTGTTGTTTCGTACGCAGCTCGCCACCCGAAAGTGACCTATCAGCTTGTGCCACAAAATGCTTTTAATTTTTTATGTTTTTCTTAAATTTCACTGCTGCGCTAGGGGGAGTACCGAAAGCTGTTTCCCTTTTTTCACTTTATTCTGTAGTCTATCAGATAAACAATTTTCCATCAAATTTTTCATCACGACAAGTCATGGAGAACACAGGATTTTCAACACTTGAGCTCAATTCAATCATCCTGATGCTCAAACAGAGACTGCTTATTGGAGTTTAAAATAAGACATTTTAATGTCCAGTATACTGACATCGTAAACCGCCTAATCAACGGCTGCCCCGCAAATCAGTTTATTCTGCAGAGACATGAGGTTTCTCAAGTGTCAGTATTATCTCAAGTCAGTCTCTTAACAAAGAGGCTCCTTCTGTGCAAACCGTGCAT